TCTGTTCTTATATAAAGTTTCTAATTCTGTTATAAGTCTTTTTGGATATTTAAAATGCTCAAATTTCTTCAAATAATTACTATTAATTATGTATGTAAGTTTATATATTCCTTCTGCATTAAAGATTAAACAATCAACTTTTTGTATTTCATCAGAATTGTAAATAAAAGAAACAATCCCACCTTTATTAAATATGCTAATATATTCATTTTTAATAATAATAATATTATCATCTTGCTTAAATGGATATTTTATTTTATAGATAATAGTTTTTCCATTTAAAGGTTGCTTATCATCTTTAACTTCTTTACTAACTAACATATCAAATTCTGTTATATATGATATTGCAACTAAGATAATATTTTGATCCATATTTGATATTGCTAACATCCATTTTGAATAAAGCTTTTCTTTAAATTTATATTCTTTAAAATCTTCATTAATTGTACATGAATTTTGCTTATTAATTGTATTATATTGATCATATTCAACAATATTAAACTGCATATTTTCTATGATATATATAAATGTTATCATCTTATTACTTTATTTCAATTTTCAATTCTTTAAATATTAATAAATAAATAATTACCATGATTAAATGTGACAATATACTTTCCATTTGGACTAATAGAAATATGCCAATTTGAATCTTTTATATCAACTGGTTCTTGTTTAATTGAATCTTTATTAAACCCTAAATTATAATTAAGTTTATTTAATAAATAATATTAAAAGTAAAAGAAATAAAAAATAGAATTTGTCTTTTATAAATTTTTTTTATTAATAATAAATAAAAATTGAAGAATTATACCAACTATATAATTTTTAAATAATTTGAATAGTTATTAAAAAATTTATATGATATATATAATTAAACAATGCAATTAAAAATAACTTACTTGCTATATGTTAATAAGTAATATTAATTTAAATTAAAAGTGACTATATTTAAATATGCATAATTAGATAATACATCAAATTTGAAAACTTACTTTCTATATCATAATTTAAAATTGAAATGTTGTCTAAATCTTATAAAATTAAATAATATAATAAAATTGGTTTATTTTATACTAAATTGCAAACAAATTTTAATTAAATTGCAAAATAATGAAAATAACTTATAACTCAATTAATTTTAAGATTAATATTCTTAATTTATTATATATTGAATAATAAGTTATTATTATAAATAAATGAATTCAATAGAAACTTACAATATATCAATTCTATATCATTATTAATATCAAATTGAAATTTAGTGAGTAAATGAAAATAATAAAATAATAATATTAATATTTAATAAATTTAAATTTAATTGAATAAGATAATAAAAGTTAATGATATAGTAAAATGACTTACTATTTATAAATTAATGATATTATTATTTAATAAATTTAAATTTAATTGAGCTGAATAAGTTAATATAAGTTAATGATATAGTAAAATGACTTACCATCTATATTATTATTAAATAAATTCACAATTGAGTTTGAAAATATATAAATAAATCAAAAATCAAAATCAATTGTAAAATATAAAATAACTTAAAAATTTTTTAATAATTGCTATATAATAAATTAAGAAATTTAATTTTAGAATTAATTGAGTTTATAAGTGATTATAAATAAATAATTCATAAAAATAACTTACGATGAATAAAAGCTTTATCAGTATTAAATAATTTCAAATTAAAATTTAGTTAAATTTATAAATTATATATAATAAATTAAAATGATATAATAGAAATAACTTACTTTCTGAATTACCTTAAAATTATAAATTTAAATTTAATTGAAATTTTATAATTAATTGAGTTTATAAGAAATTATGAATAATTCAATAAAAATAACTTACTTGCTAAATTACCATTAAAATTATAAATTTAAATTTAATTAAATTGAATTTACAATTAATTGAGTTTATAAGAAATTATGAATAAATAATTCAATAGAAATAACTTACGAAATTTAGGCACTTCATTATTATTAAATAATTTCAAATTGAAATTTAATCAAATGAAGTTTTATAAATTATACATAAGTAAATTAAAATGAAATTACAAATTTAAATTTAATTGAATTTTATAATTAATT